CCCATTTCAAATCGTTTTCTCTGACGGCGAAATACTTCGATTCATAATAGGTGCTGAAGCATGTATAACTACCTATCGAACCAATTGCTATACTCCATATTCCCCCATAAGTTTCATTCAGCCAATTCCGAACATCTTTGCCAATTTCATATTGATTAGATGATCCGTGTGTGTCAATCGATGTGCGTAATATGCTCAATATATTCATTCTCATAGTATCCGTGATTCCTGCTGCTTGGTCGACAATTTCCCATTTCACCATGCTGATTGGTTTCGACAATATATCTACAAGAAACATAATTGAACTATATTCACAATTTACTGTGTTTATCTTGCATATTTAATTTTACTCTTAACAATCAGAACTGTTTAATATAATAGAAATTGAGCAAACGGAGTCACTGTAGAGCCCTCAAATCGTTAAAGAGCTGCGTTAGTTACCACTTTCGAAATCTATTCAACTGATCAAAGCAGTTATTTAGTAGGATATACAATAAAAGTGAAAAATTAGTACTCAATTTTGTCTCGCTACTACTCACTAGTACTTATTTCATTCCGTAATATCTTTTATTATGTCACACTTAACATTACCTATGTCTTTCATATTACATTTTGCAGCTGTCACCTAACATCATTTTCTGGTTCATTGTGTTTTGTATTTTGTACTATATTTTAGTAATGATTGAGATAATAGTCTATGTTTTCGTCGCAAACCTATCAGTCAAAATGTTGAGAAACCGGTAACTTTACACACTGAAACGTATTTGTGAAAATTCAAACAAACAACACTCTAGCTATATAAACATCGTTTGTACGCATTGCATTTGTACTTTGTCTGATTCAATGAAGGCTCAATTCCAAGATTGGTTTAAGTGGAGGACGCTGCTATAGATTGTCATTAATGACAGTGCGGTTCACTAAAAAATCAACAACAAGTCAGTTTGATGCGTTTGCAGTGGAAAATATTCGATGTAATGGTTTATACGGAATTAATGGCGGTCTCCTTATTTAGTTTACATCTTGATCACCTTTTCTCAGTCCTATGTTATCTCTTTTCCAGAAGATTCATTGTATATTCTGTATCAAACAATCTGATATTTATTACTAACCATTTTTCTCTGATCTCAGGAATGCCAGACAATTAAAGGTCAAAATATCATCTACCTTTCAATATCTTACGGGTTTTTGAGTTATCGAATTATTTTTTCAAACAATATTATTTTCTCTTGAACCATTTTGACTTTTTCTAAAACACGTAGTACAGTTGTTTTCGTAACAATTTCTTTGTCGATCATATTTGAATTATTTTGTGAACCAAAATGACCAGGAAATGTGTTATAGTGAAAGCCTAAATGGTTTAATAGTAATGAATACTTTGTGACCAAGAATGTTGCAAAAGTCGAAAAGACAGTTGATTTTGAAAGATGTTTGTGATATTTTTGTACGTTTATCCTAATTTCGCTAAGATGAAAGAACAAGAATATGCTAAATACGTCGCACTCTGCTATGTAGAATTAATCACTGGATTTTGAACGAAAAGAATTCAAGTATGACCGACAACAGTCGATCGAAATATGAACCAAAAGGTTACATATTCTTTTAAGCTGGTCCATTTGTTCGAACCGAAATGTTAATGTGGTTTGTATATCCATAAATAAACTTAAAAGAGATCTAACACAGTTCAATCCGTTTAGTATTTCACGCGAAATCCAAATATCCTACTAGTGCGGTTGAAATAAGTTATAATTGTCGCAATGCGCGTATTACAAAAAAATATGAAGAACTAGAAATGTTTGAATCATACGAATTTTCTATGAATTTTATTCAGCTTCGACTAATCTCCAGTGTTTTAGTTTTGTCTTGTGCACTGAGATGGTTGAGAGATTATTGTTGTCTAACTTCGTTTGAAGTAAACGACTAGAAACTTTTCTAACTACTTCAATGCACAGTACGTGAGTGGAAAGTGGAATGTAGGCAGAACGAAATCAAAAATTACTGTAACTCGTATAAACTGCATCAGTGAAATATTCATACTACCATAAATTGTCGTTGTATTCAGTTTTTTGCCTATTATCTTTCTTTTTCTTTAGCTTGTCCTGTTTTCGATTATTGATAAGAACACAGCAACAGAAAAGACGTCAATTTCAGGATTTTTTTTCTTAGATAAGACATTTCAATACACAGCATACTCATTCCTTTTCACATCACGACATCTATTTTCGCTACAAACGACAAAAGCATATCGTCGTTCTAACGATGGTGTGTATTAAACGACTGTAAACGTCCCTATCAAACTCTGCGTATTTGTTTTCGATAGTATTTCTGCCAAGGTCATTTAAAAGAGCACAATGACTTAATTCAATGTTCGACTCTCACCATTGATTGACCTAATGAATGCACTTTCAGTAAATTAATAAACGGCTCTTGGCCGGTGTTATCTTGTCTCGTTAGTGGCCATCAATGGCATAATAATGTTCATAGAACAGTGGAATGATTCGATGAGAGAAAACATCGATAAAGTCAAGAATTTATTCGTGAGAAAAGAGAGAAACAGAGAATACAATGATAAACCATGATGTTAGCAAAAGCTAAACTAGTAAAAAGCTTTCAGCATCAATCTTACAAGATTAAAATTTGAACCACAATGAGACGATTCTGTTGAATAACCAAGACCTTGGGCAGATCAAGTATTGTTGATCTCGACTAGATAGGCAAGCATAATGAAACTCTTGGCACAGTGTATAAGAGTAGAGTGATTGTCTGCCATAGTCTATGTGATGAGTTAAAGATATAACTTAGTTGCTATATATGTCAGCATGCACTACTAACCGTATATTGCTAACATTCAAATGAAAAAATAAAACAAAATATTATGAAAAAAAAATACATTGAAGATGTGAGAGTGTTCAAAAGAAAAACTGAATTAACAATGAAATCAAATTTCAAAATGGTTTTTATGAGAGATTTTGACTTTGATGCAGTTCGAAATCGTTGCTTTAGATGGTAATGGAACGTTTATATGCGAGTTACAAGTCATGTACGACTTATTCACAAAATCAGATTTGACATCAAAGAATATGCTTCAGTGACGTCTATTGATCGAGAAGCAAATTTTAGTGTCAGACGCAAATACAAAACAAACAATTGTAACAAATTAAAAAGCATACAATTTAGAGTTACTACGAGTTGCTCGAGAGATTCCGTTGAGTATATGAATAATGTATTTTTGTCCTTCAAATGTTTTAAATGGATGCTACTAAAACAGATTTTCTAACAATGAATCCAATGTTCAAATAAGTCGTAAATTACTTGTAACTGGAATATAAACATTACATTACTATTTAAAGCGATGATCTTCAACATCATTAAAGTCAAAGTTTTCCTCTAAAAAATCATCTTGAAAAGTCTTCCACTACTTGTAAACGTTGTAAAAATATTTCTACTAAAATTCACATTATTTTTACCTATGAATATTTCACATGAAATTATACTGAAGATATGTTTTATTTTTGAACATGATCACATGCAACACATGTTCTCTTATGAAACTGAAAGTACTCGTCAATACGTGTTCATTAGTAAGCAAGTTTTTATTTTTCTTAAGATATTTGTTATGTAAAAGAAAAGTTTTCTCATGATGATAACCACAATTGAAAGAGATTTAGCTCAAAAATTAGAAACAAGTCATTCAGAAGTAATACAAAGATATTTCTTTTGTATTTTTCTTTAAATATTTAAGTAAAATAAAATGCATAATGAATAGTAATTATGAAAAAAATAATTAAACTTTATCATCATGCTATATTAAATTATATTCTAATCAAAGTCTTGCTTATCTTCGTCGTGAATAATATGGTTATGCACTAATAATTACTAAGAAAGTATTGTAATATAATTTTTAATATGTCAAAGTATTTCTTTTTTGTATGTGTTTTGAATAATTATTACTTGTTATATTACGTCATGTTATCGACGAGCATCTTTCTACTCTTGTTCTGAAATTAAAAATGTAAAAAAAAAGCTTGTCTTAATAATAAATGAGTATCATGAAATATGAAGAATATAAAAAATTGTTACAGTTGTTTATTTTGAAATCATTGGATTCTTTTGGATCATTGAGTTAGATTAACCTAAATATTATCTAATATTGATGAAAAGATGAAGAAGAAAAACTAGAAATAGTAATTTGTATCAACTAAATTATCAATGCCTTCTAATCAAAAACTGAAAAATTAATTATATGTTTTGGCTATTAATTATTTCATTATAGAATACCTATACTTATCAGAAAAAATTTCTAATGAAATAGTTTATGTATGATCTTCCTTTCATGAAAAATTTGTAGATACTTATTGATATATTTTTTGTGAAAAGAAACTTGTTAGATTTAATTTGCATGATTTTTGTGAAGATATGCGATAAAATTCATAGTTAATCTTCTTTTTTGTCAATTCTTTTGATATAGGTTGTGTCTGATCAGAAGTCGACTTTTTTCGGGGGAAGATTCATCTAGCAACATGTTCTAATAATGGATTCACACATCCCAACTGGAACTCCACTAGTTCTGTCAGATGTTGAGAACCTTATTTCGATACCATCTTCTGTTGTCGAAAAATCTTTATTACACTACGTGGCCATTTGTGTGAAACTTGAATCGCGTTGGTTTACGAAAAAATTTTTGGATTTTGAGGTGGATCTGCAGTTTGAACATTTTGCAGATACAAAAAGGTACTTAGAATGTTTTTTTTTTATTTCAAAGATGTATAAGAAATTGTGGAAAAACTTAGTAGATGAAAAAGTTATTTATTGCATAATCTTTTCTTTCACTTCACTAACTTTTCTTTGTTTAGATTAGATAATGGTGTATAGTTAATGTACTGGTTTTATACAAGTATAATTTATTAATGTTACAGACGAAAAACTTTACTTATGAGTAATTATATTGCTAACTTTTTATTATATTATAAACAAAATGAGTACGATTAAGTGTTTAGTCTTTTTCAAGTTAATGCAGCTGGTTCTTGTGTAATCTCAATAGTGTCAGATTGTTGAACTGGATTTTGATTGACTGAAATTGGTTGTACATTTGTAACTAAAACAACATTAAGTAATAATAAACATTTTCGATGGTTATTTTACCTGTATTGTTTGTCCGAAATGATTTAATAACTGAAGTGATTAATTGCTTAGCATCGACAAAATCCGGATAATCATATAAATCTGTATTCTCATACCAATTGAGTATTTCATTTGGACTAATACATTGATGATTGACAACATATTGTAATAAAAATGTCATCATTTCTCCTAAAAAAAAATCATTTAATCATGTTCAATAAACAAGAAAAGAAACTAAAATTTAGATTTACTCTTATTTTCTTGAATGGTTTCATTAAAAAAGAATGCATGTATACCTAATAATACAACATCAGCAGAATGACGATTTTTTATGTGCTTTTTAATAGTTGATATATGTTCATTTAGAAGGATAGTTTTGTCATTGATTTCTGATTTCCTATGCCAAGCTGTAAGATACGAACAAACAAGAATAGGAAACTGAAAATGAGGACCTTGTTGCTAATAAAAAGAAACTTTACTTTTAAAATACAATTTTCATTATAGTGACTTACTTTAAGATAGTTGGCAATATCATTCTTACTTTGTTCTATACATGATATATTAGCAAACATGTCAACAAGTCGTCTAAACGAGCGATATTTTCGTAGATTTATAGCATTACCGGATGAAGAATTAGTCGAAAATTTTCTTTTTCGAGGTAGTTCGTGAATATCTTAAAAATAAAACATAATTTAACTTCAAAAATCTGTGTGATTTTTAGACAAATTCTACTAGATTTTGGTATTTTCAATGGAACTTGCATAGATGAAGAATTTTGAAGAGAGTGTCCTAAATTCATTGGTGATGGCAATTTTGAGAAGTTCCATTTTAGTTGTGTACTATGTTGTTGTACATTTTTAATTGTACTATGAATATGATGAAGCCTTTTCATAATGACATCTTGATGAGGTTGTATAAGAGCTAACTGCTGTCGCGCACTGCGATCAAGTACTTCAATTAATTCTTGGTGTAGCATATTCAAAGTTTCTTGTTGAGATTCAATCCATTGCAACTTATTTTTATAGATTTGTTCAATTTTTTCTGTTTCTTGTGTTCGCCATTGTTTTAATAAGGTTAATAGATCATTATATGTATTTCTACTTTTTTCATATTTATCATTAAGTTGTTGAAAAGTAGCTTCAAGTTTATGTGAAAGATTTTGCATACTACTAGGAATAATTTTATTGTGTTCAGTAATATGTTGAAGACATAATCGACGATTACAATGTAAACAAATAGCTGATTGAAAATTTGAACACGAAGAAGTTTCTTCACATGTAAAACTAGTCATATTTATCTAAAATAAAACCATATGAAACCTTTATTTTTCGAAAAATTTTTATTTTGCAAGTAGTTCTTCATTATTATCTACTCGGTATCATCATAATAAAAACAAATGAGTGTGACAAAGTAATTCAACCTATCTAAATAAGTATGATATAGTAAAATATGCACTCAAGAACACGAAGAGAAGCAACTAGGATATTTTTTGTCTTTTGTAAATTTGTTTTTACCGTTCTGTTGTAATTATTGACGTCATTGTATGCATGAAAGAATAGACATTCGCAAGTTTTATCCTTTGATATAACAAACAAAAAAAAGGACAACATTGAATTATATAATGATAATATTACTAACGTAGGAGAGGCATAACCAAAACATCATACAAAAAATAAATAAAAAAATAGAAAAATGCCATAAAAATTTATTAGTAGTTTAATTTCTGTAAAACTAATTGGTGTATTTGAAAATATTCCAATAGAAAAGATTGAAATAAGAAATGATATTTCAAAATATTAAATGAATGACAAATCAATTGAAAGAAAAACTTTCACAAAGTGTTGATCATTACCAAGTGATTTGTACAATATCATTGAATGATTGTTATTGACAAAAAGTAGCTTATTTTTGTCGTTTCATCATGTAAGACAGAAGATGAACAAAGTATTATTGACTTTATTCTTAAAGGTAATATTTAGAACAAATGGAAAAAAAGACTTGATTAACTAAAACGATTTCCGCTAATAGGGTTGGATGACAGATGTCTGAAAAGCGAAGACTAATCAAATTGTTTTGCAAACAAGTTCGTCTAATAGAGAAAATATTAAGATGTCCACGTTCTTTCCAAGGCTGATCTTCAATGAACAACAATGATTGTACAATAGGTTTGCAAGATTGTTTTTTTCGTTCTTTCTCATGAAAATGTGTGACCTTGTTACAGTCATATGTATCACTCTTTGACTCATTGGTATTTGTTTATTCATTTCGCATTCTTTGATGCTTTATTTCTCTCTATATATCGCTCTCTATACTCGCTTAAGAGGGGATTCAATCTCGAAATAAAACGAACATCAAGAAGGAACTGGGGTAGTCTTAATAGACCTCACCGTATTTTATACTTTCGGATATTTTCGAACTCTGATCCGGATCCAACCAAATCTACTTTGGAATCTTTCGTAGAACCAATAAGCGTTGGAGAAACTAGAAAATTGGTTTTGATTTTCCAGGTATCTTTCATGTACAACCTGTTAATGAGATTTTGGCAAGTATTTCTCTTGATAGAAAGTTGTTTCGGTTAATCAAATCTTTTCTTCAATTTGTTCTAGATATTACCGTTAATGAAAAAAGTTAAAAAATACATCGTGTGTAAAAATTTTTGCATTCACTTTATTTGACTTGTAATTTTTATATTATAATGGTATAATTAGATTTGTTTAGTTTTTCTCTGATATAGTAAAAAAAGACGGTTGTTGATGTTCAAAGATCTTCTATGTCAGCTTTTCTTTGATACACATCAATAAGCTTCTCTCCTACATCAGGTTCTCAACAATGAATCTGCAATTGATATTCACGAATTTCTATCATTATCTTCTGATGTTTGTTCAATTTAAATTGCTAATAAAGTTCAATATTGTTGTATGTCTCTTCGTTATACATGTTTTCTTGTACATCTTATAGAATGCATATCCAATCTTGGATTGATTTTCAGTTTGTCTTCGGGCGTCTTGAACCATATATGGATTTCTAGAGTGAACAATGAGATCATTGAGTGAGCATTGATTAAATGAAGTAAAATAATTGTAATGCATTGTTAGTAAGTTATTAATTTAGATATTTTTTTATGAGAAATCACTGTTACGAAAAACATCCTTTTAGAAAAAAAAAGGAAAAAGAAAAGTGTTAATTTGGAAAATTCATAAAATGTACAAGACCAAAGTTTTCTGTCTATACCATATGGATAATTTTATTTTCTCTGGACATCAATGTCATTTCGAAAGAATTAATGGAAGATTCATTTGCAAAAAATTTAATAGATTGTTTAAAAATAGACGTAAATTTTCTTCTTGTCTTTTTCATGTATTATCAAATGCTAAACAGAAGTAGTAAATCATTTAATTATTTTATTTTGTGTATTAGAACAAAAAAAAAGACAAAAATATTAAAAAGAAAACTCCGCTAGATGACTGACTGAAATAGAATTATCTTCTTGTTAAAAAAAAAACTATTCTTATCATAAGAAACATGTAATTAAAATAGATCCATGGAATCTTATGACGAATTCATGAAAGAATACTCGATCATCTTATTTAAATGCTTATTCAACTCAATTATCTTCAACTTGAACAATGTCTACAGCTCTTGCAGTTGCTATTTCCTAAACTATTTAATTATAATCTATTCCAAACAAGTATAAATAATATTTCAAAGTAAAAAAGCAAGACCGATAAAGCTGCTCATCGGGTTGATAATCTTTGTGTGAGCTTATACTTTACTTATAGGTAGGATTCATAGTGTAGATAAAAATCTGAAAGGATTCATGCTATCAGATCTTACGTTCTCGAGCTATAATAATTTTATTAAACGTTTAATCTATTGCAGGATATCATAAGAAAAAGTCGCAATAACAAGTTTCAACCTAAAATTTTAGTTAAAACAGTAGCTGCCGTGGTTCTTGTGATGTCCTGGAAATTTCAACACAAACAGATGAGTTCTTCTTAAAGTACCGTATGCTTCAAAAGCTGGATTATTTTAAGAGTTTCTGTGTAAAAGTAACGCTATTTGCAAAAGTGTTATCTGAGAAGAAAAACATTCGTTTGAGCTGAAACTTTCAACATATCATGCGAATTATGAGAGTTATTGTTGACCAAGATTTCAGACAAAAACTCCTTGTTGCGATTTTTCTTGTAATATCTTGCAAAAAGGCTAAACGTTCAGTAAAATGATCATAATTCGAAAAGAAAAGCCTAATCGCATGAATCTTTTCAGGACTTTTATCTACACTATGAATTCAAAAGGAGATATCACTCGGATAGATTCTTTCACAACAGAGAACGTGTTCAATATTGTTAGATATACAGAGTTGTGCCGTAATAGTTGTCATTTCAATTCAAACGAATCGATTCATATTCGCACATATCTTGAACCGCTTCTTAGTAATGATATACCTCATTAACAAGAAATGTCTTTGAAGATCAGATAATATTTCTTGGACATGTAGGAAGAGCATTTTCAAAAAAAAAAACAACTAATTTGAACAAATTATTCAAACCTTATTCGTGTCACTTCAAAAATACAGAAAATAAATAATTCTTATATAGAATCGTTTCATTCGTATTGATTTGTAAACAGATCATAGTTTAGAATCTGTTAATGGCTTATTTCACTGAAATTCCATCTGGAGACAGTGAAACTATTTCGTTACGTATGCGTGTGTTGAATCTATAAACAATTATTACCGAATGATCCAATTCAACGTGGAAACTTAATCATCAATTGAGAAGAATAGTGTAAATATTAAATTATACATTAGTTTTTCTTCGATTAAATGATTCAAGACTTTTTATTTTCTTTATATTTCAATACATTTGTAGTTATTGAAAATATCTAACTTGCCATAGTATACGTACTAGCTAAAACAACTCCTTAATCTGTGCCATTTTCCAACATCGATTATATTAAGACGAAGGTATTCTGTCAACTCCTAATCTGCTTTTATCTCATCTCTCCATCCAAGATTACTAAACAATTAAATATGAGAGAACCATTATCACTGTTGTCATCATCTCATGACCAATGTGATCGGCTAGTAGCACTGATGGTAGAAAGACAATAGAAAGAAATTAAAATACCTAAGCTATTTCCTTTTTGTATTTTTTACAAGTTGTTATTTGTGAGATCAATTAACATAGAACTTAAAGTGCAGTATTTGAAGGTTTACACAATGGAGCCTTCTGACATTGTGAATATATCATACATACTGGACATTACAGAATGTCTGCAACACTGCTTATTTTGTATATATTCCACTGCAGACAAATGGTAAAAAAAGCTTAAATCTATTTTGAAAAAAAAAGAATATGCCATGCCATCACTACAAAACTCTATTCATCTTATTTTAAAATAATAGAACTGAATGAATATCACATATTGTGGTTTTATGAATTGTGCCTGCTTCTGAAATATTGTTTTTATTGATTCAATTTTTCATATAAATGAATAGTTAGTTTTTAAAATGTCGCTCACTACTAGATATCTCTTAAAGTCACTGTCAGTGAAGCATGTATACAACAATCTCTACTGTTCTTCCCTTCCACAAAACAAAAACTCAATGAACTTTTAATTATCTATGGTTTAATTAGCTTACAAGTATAAAAGTTTTTAACAATTCAGAAATTGAAATTTTCAAACTGAGTGATTATAGTTTAAGCATATCTATAAGATGTTCTGTGAAATCAGAGATTGACTGTCAGTTCTTTAGTACACAGTGAATCCTAGTATAAATACGAGCAATGCTGTTAATACAATATTTTAGCTAAGAAAGTGCCAAACTTTGAAGAATCAGAAATGAAACGAGACATATTCTAATTATTTTGACAGAAATATAAAGTAAGCCTCTGAGATTGCGTAATAAGAATCTGTCATTTCTGACATCTGGATAGTTCAGATTTTATAAGTATTATAATAATGCATATCGTCCCATTTCACACTAATTTTTATGATCGATTTCGATAAACGTTCATTCAGTTTGAACCAGCTACTGTTTCATTTTTTAGTCAACGATTTGCGCATAGTCCTGACAAGTTAATAAAAATCAAGGTTATTTCGTTTTTGAGTTGTCGACATCTATCTATTAGTGGTAAGTATGTATATGAATTTTTTAGGTAGCTTAAAAAAATTCATGTGTTCGTTACTAGAAAACATACAGCACTAAAAAAATTATGCACATAAACAGAATTATAATTGAATAATCCAATATCTGATATGGTTTGTTTTGTGCTTCAGCTGGACACATTAGGCTTCTACAATTATCACAAAAAGTACCATTAGCAGATCAAAATTATCCAAATCTCAACTATTTAAGCTCATATTTTAACTATAAATAGAATGTAGTAAACCATAATCGAAAGGACCAATAATATGCAGTTTGACTCTAATGTAAAAGAGCTGCAAGCCAAACATGTGTTTTCTCGTAGAGAAGAGCTTTCACAGTACACGAAGCTAATCTTACAATATACAATCGTCCATTGGAGGAAACACTACTATCTCTCTTTCGCACAAAAGTTTCATGTTAAACGGTTTTGATTTGTCTAGACTATAGACTACTCTTTAACAATCATCGACATGTAGAGCTGAAAGCAGTTCATTAGAAATTTATTCGAAACTTCCCTTTTTTTTTCAATCATTGAACTTAAAATTTCTACCACTTTAGCTGGTAATAAACTGCAGATTTACATGGAAATCGTTCTATATGATGTGAAACTCATTATTTCACGAATAAACAACAAATTGAAACGATTTCGATGTGGCTAATAAGTATTCACACAAACTTGGTGTCATTGGACAAATAATGGCTCGAACACTTAAAATTCAATCAAAACAACAGAAATATATTCCTATCCTACTGAACAGTGCTAGTCAAAGAATGTAACTAGACGTTATCTCTTGAGTTTTTTCAATGTAAGATCATTAAATCAGCAGCAATGAAAGAAAAACACCCATGTCGGAAACCATTCATTTACTTCACATACTGCGTTTAAAAATCAATAAATTCTTCGAGTGCAGGTTTGTTGCAGCTCGAGACTCTCTATGCAAACATAAAACGCAGCGAAGTCTCTAACCCTTCAAGTTTATGAAGGATTTCGAGTTATATGCGTCTTTGATGAGTCTTCAAAAGTTAATCGAAACATGCACAGTTTTCTTGCTGGCATTTTTGAACTAGATCAGGATTTGAACAATTGAAAAGCACCGTCCACAAACGCTCCACTACGTGGCCAAAAATTGGATTCTCCGGTGTTGAAACAAGCCATCCATGATTTGAATCTTTATGGATCCAATGTGAAGCATTTGCCTTAAAATGAAAAATGAGCCATTGAAAACTGATCACAATAAAAGTCAAACCGTAAGAATACTTTGAATGTATTTGTATATGTGTAAAGGTCTGCTACGAATTCTTTGCCTACTAGCAAGAAATTGACCTCGAAAGGAAACCTTTGAAGATAATTGTGTTTCAATGCTTATTAGATTTAAATTTACTTACAGCTTGTCCACCTGGTGGGCATAGTGTACTCTGCAATATTCCCCAGAGCTCTGTTAACCGTAGAAAATCTCCATATGGACCTTTACCACAATTATAAGTAGCAACCATATTCGTAACTACAAGTGGCATAAATCCAACTGACGCATTGAACTGTTTTACCAGGCGTGACATAAACCAATTTTCCAGTCCTGTTCCAGTAATACCTTCGACACCTGCTTGTGAAAAAAGTGTATGAGTAGCAAGTGTATCATAGTTCTCAATAATATGACTGAGAAATGTGGCTCCTTCACGACCAACATTAGGTAATGTCATCACTGAATCAGCATTCAAAGCAACTTTCAAATAAGTTATGTTGACATTAGGGTTCTTATTATAGACAATTACAAAAGGATTGAGTTTGCTGATGCTCGTAACATTACGAATATAGCTAATGAATCGCGCAACGAATGTAACATTTTCAGTATAATAACTAAGAACCATGTCAAATTGCCTCCTTCGATTGAGCAGTTCAATAGAATCAGCTGAATTGTTTGAGAAACTTGCATATGCACGAATACCAAACTTGTTTGCTGTGCGAGTGCGATATTTATATATATACGTCGTAACATTAGAGTTGAGTATTGCTAATAGTGACACAAATAGTAAAATAATAGCGATTATTCGTGAGATGTTATTAAATGACATGTGGTTTTTGTTTTCACCAACACAGTCAATTGATGAAACTTTGCTAAGTAGATTAACTGCTTGCATATCTTTTGAATATGAATTCTGCAAGACAAACTGATTCTTGTTAAAAATGAAATGAAATTCATGTCCAAAGTATATATATTAGTGATTGAAAAATAAAACGCATTGATCTTTAAAAAGTTGAGTATTTTTTAAATGACACAAGGAGAAAGCATAGTATTTACGTTTCTAGGACTTCCTGTCATACAGACACATATAGAAAAGATTTTAGACTGCCCGTGAGACTAGAACAATTAGCAAAGCTAGAGAAAAACAGATACAAATAGTTAGAGTGATGTGAGTAGCATGCTTATTTGCAAACACAAAATTAAACTATGTTAGAATCTGCTTTTATTCCTTGTTTACTGAATATTACGGTGAAAAGTTGGCGTATTGCTTGTCATCTACATGAACATCGAAGTCAAATATCTAACAGACGGTAGGACAATAGTTTTCTTGTTACCTTTGAAAAAGTAATCTGTCTTTTCACTTATGAGTGAAACTGATGTTTCTGTCAATGTCATAATTACTTTGTGAAGTAAATTGGAACAAAAAGGATTGATAAGAAGTGAAAGAGGAAAGCAGTAGAAAAGAAGTATTGAGAGAGAATGTATGTATAGAACTCTTATAGAACCCATGGAATTTTCTTGTTAAAAATCACTGAAACTTTGTTCTAATGGAGCTTTCATCAGTTTTGAATTGGCTGAATGACATAAAAATATGAACGATAGAGGAAAGAGGACTTGATGACTGTCATTTCGAAATGAACTGATGAATCTACTTCATGTCGTCAAATACTGCTTATCTATTTCAAAATCAATGGTCAAATCCACTTTCTTGTCGCATTCATATTTCTATGGCATTCCTGATAATTCGGACTGAAATCCAGTGAAGACTCGAATAGAAAAAATTTCAATGATTTTTTTTATAAAAAGAATATTCAATGACTTTTATAGTAATACTATATTCTCTCTTTCAATACGTATTTTTTATCATGAAAACAAAAGAAAAAAAATCTAGTTCCCCCTTTTCATTCTCTTGAATGTCGGCTGACGAGCACACGTCTCATTTCGATACACATTCGTCGACGGATAACTTTTTTTAAGAATATAATATGACGGGTTACTTTTATACAAAAAGAGAATAAACTTCTCGTTCTCCTTTATATCTCTCTGCGTTAATTGCTTTTTTCGCTGTATTCTCGATCCTATGAAGTACATTCTGATATCAAAAGCACTCTAATTGACGTCAAAGATAATCTACTTTTATGAACTTAAAAAGGCAAGCTTCAAATTCGTTGGACAGTGCTCGAGTGTGAATTTGATTTCTTTTTAAAACAACAGTTTCTACTTACAACTGACCATTTAGTCACAATTTGAGTTGCGATCGCCATACGTTAGAAATGAATTTAGACATCCTGATTGATGTATTTATCTTTAAAATTACCTCAGATATAGACTAACTACGATTTCAAAACGACAAAGCACGAATTGCAATCAGAATCATGCGCAGAAAGAAAGATTTATTCGACACCTGTATCGTACAGCGCTGATTCATTTCAATCATCATCTCGACATCTGTCTCAACGATCAGTTCATCTACACTCTATGTACAATTATTTGAGTTGAGCTTATTTCACTAGATATATCTATAAGACTTGAAGTTAAAAGACTGAGGAGCATATCTGAAGAATATAAAAGCGAAATTTTTGTAAGTGTTTTAGAACAGATTGTTTCTCTAAACTTAAACGAAGGAAATTTCTAAGACAATAATGAGTTCAATTCTTTCTGTTTAGATTATGATATTAAGAATATTTGATCTGCTTCGTATTGTGGGATAGTTATTTGTGAAACACTACCATGAATGAGTGTTGAAGTAAGATCTTCGAACTGCCAATGATATAAGTTCTTACAGATCGAAGTCAAACTAAATAATAAGTCATGTGTTACAAGATGGTAACAAAATTGAATTCTTATGTGAGTTTATCTAAATTATACTTGAAACAATCTAAATCTATGGAAGATGATTGTTCTGTCTAAGGATAATAATCGATTTGAAACCAAATGTTCAGTAACATATTAAGATAAGCGATAAAAAATATTCTACTTTTAAGAAACTCATCTAACTACTATGCGTTCTGTCAAATTAACATAGACCAAGACTAAATCACGAACTTGGAGACCATTTTGATTTTTTTGTATTTTTCGAATATACAAAGATGAACACATACAGAAAAACTATATCTGTAACATCTGAATTATCATCTTGAAGTGACTATGCTCAGTTGATATGCTTATTAAGAAAGTGCATTATTAGAAGACATATCAAAATATATTTATCAAACTTATTTTCTACTCTGTTTGAGTTATGATAAGCAAAAGATTAGTCATGCACTTATTGTGATTCTTTTTTAATCGTTGTGTTCTTATAGGATCTAATACTCAAATAATCTATATGGCCATCCGATAGGTATTTCGATGCGTCGATTTAAGGTTGTCATGGGCATCGAAATTTCAAATGTACTCCTCGGATTCTCACTTTTCAATAGATCAGCAGAACACTGACTTTTCGACTAGTCGAACGATTTATGCCGAGAAAGCCGAAATTCGATCAAAATAACAAGGATTTTCTCCTTCAGGTGCCTTATTTTCGAGCCTTCAAAATCTATCAAATAAACGCGGAAGGACAAATTCAAACATCTAAACTAAATAGGAACTATTATTTTGCTATTAAAGGTATGTTTTCAATTCTTAGACGGTTAGTACTTTCAAGATTGTTATTTTAATATTTGTTAATAGTTTTCGAAAATAAAAAAAAAGCTTTTTAATCAGATAAAAACAGCTTTTGAAGTCTCTGACTACAAAAAAGGCTTATTCGATAAGTAATTGATTGGAGTGATAAAGTGTTCAATCAATATTAAGAAAAGATTTTCAAACATTCAAAACGCAAACTTCCTTGTCGCTGTATCTTTTGTCAGAATCATTTATGGATCTCGGTCTTACTTATTATTTTCCATCAGTTAACGTAAAATATTTTTTACAAAACTATGAAATTAAGGAAGATATATGCCAAACACAAATCACCCTATTAATATAGTTGAATGAAGCAAACATTTGTAAAACATTTTTTGAAGAAATTTCACGGAACCAAAATCAACCTCACTACTTGAAACTGTTATTCTGCTTGGCTTGCTTCTGTCGGAACAGTCAACATTATGCTTCCAATATATTTCTTTTCTTTAGTACGCAAAACTTTGATAAGTATTGAATGATGTAAAAGTGCTTGAGAAGTCAAAAACGAATGTTCGATAGAATACAGTTTTTGAGTGGTTGGAATTCAATGGCTGCCGAGAGGCTTAATATCAGAACAGAACGAACAAAAACTATATATATTTCATATTTTCGAGGCCTCGTCACACGCATCGTATACCTTTTAAACTCTATTTGAAAAGTGTGGACATGATATTTTTTTACATCATTACGATAAAAATATAATGAAAAAGTGTGAGAAACAAACTTGATAAAATTATTTTAACAGTTTATCTAATAATGTCCCGTGCAAAAAAAAACAATGTCAGTATTCAATGATGATTTAGAAATTACTTTTAAGCATATATCTTCTATGTTTATGTAACTTGGCATATTTAAAAAAAGCAAAAGAAAATCAAAATAGTTTCAAAGCTTATGAAACATCACTTATACATAGAAGGGTTCAGTTATGTAGAATATCCCATTAATATTTCTTTTATATTGACTCAACAATAAATCACAAAACTTTGTTTTTTGTATCAGTTATAGCTCATACATAATGCTGATCATTTGAGTTTGTTCAGATTCTGTCTCTTATAAATTAAGAAATTTGTTTATCGAGGTTTTTCTTAAAACCTTTTAAGCACAGATACATCTTTTATCAAACGATCTTGAGAAAGATCTTCACAAATCTTTTAATTTATAAGAGACAGAGTCTGAAGAAAATCAAATGATCAGCATTATGTATGCACTATAACTGATATAAAAAAAACCAAAGTTTTCTGATTTACTGTTGAGACAATATAAAAAAATATGAATGCAGTATCCTATATAACTGGGCACTCCCATGTATACGTATGGAAACTGATTAATGATATTTAACTATAGCTATTTGCTCTTTTTTATCTATAGTCAGGTGAGTAGAAAAACTAAAAAATAACAATTCTATTGTGCTCAAAATAATGAATAGAAAGATGAACAAGTAATATTATTGATAAGATTTGATTGGCTCAGATTAGAGATCTGCGGGACAAACTTTTTCGTGTCCCGAATCCCGGATGTCCCGTCCCGAAAATTTTTGAATGATCCCGAATCCCGTTTGTCCTGTCCCGGAGTTTTTCAAAATGTCCCGGTCCCGAATGTCCCGTCCCGAATTATTTTTGAATTGTCCCGGAACATCCCGTTTGTCCCGTTGAACGAAAGAAATATAAAGATGTCGTTCTATTGAACAAGAAAATCAAGAAAATGAAGAAACAATTGACGAAGATGATAATGATGAACAGATTTGAATATATCTTGCAATATTTTTTGTGTTTTTTTTCTGTTATTTATTTACAT